TTAAAGAGACAGAGTCTTGCTCTGTCACCCAGGCTGGAGTACAGTGGTGTGATGATAGCTCACTGCAGCCTCAAACTCCTGGGCTCAAGTGATCCTCCTGTCTCAGCCTCCCAAAATGTTGGAATTACAGGCATGAACCATTGTGCCTGACTTCTTCCCTGTTTTCTAAGATGACACAAGCCAGGCCCTGTCTGTGGTCTCAGAGATAAGTGTTATTTCCATTTTAGGCCGTGGCAACCCCAGTCAGGAAAGGCCAAGCCAGTCTCTTAGGAGCTGGGGTGGGTTCCTCAAGGTACAGGCACCAGGATGGACAGATTTTCAATGCTCAGGGAACTGCAGGCATCTAATGTTTGGAGTAATGTGGAGGAAGGGGGTGTGACGCATGTGACTGTCTGTGGTCCCCAGTGTTGCTTGGCCTTGACGGTGGGCTCCCGCCTGCAGCAGCATCAGGAAGCCCGGGGGTCTGTGTGGCCCCCTGGTGTTCTGCTGCGCAACCTCAGTCCCCATCCCTGTCCCCAGGGGAGTCCCACTTCCTCCTCTTCCTCTCCACCCAGCTCCAGGGGCACTTGAGTCAGGCCCAGCCAGGCTGAGTGCAGCCTCCTCTGCGACTAGTTCAGGAAGGGCAAGGGACCCTGTGGGAGCCACTGGAGTTAGCCCAAGACTTGGACTCAAAACTTGCAGGGAAGAGAAATGCCCTCCATGCTTCTGGCCTGGAAGTTGAGAGGACCGGGCCTGGAGCCGCTGGTGACCATCTTGCCACTATGGGGGGAGTGCCTCCTGTGAAATGAATCGCTGTAGAGCAATGCAGGGCCAGGCGTCGAGACAGCGGCGCTGCTGACATTTCAGCTGTGCCTGAAGCTTGCGTGGACTTTGAAGCTACGTGAACCAATACATTCTCTTTTAACTTAAGCCGGTTTGGGCTGAATGATCTGACACTGGGAGACAAACGATCTCCTAACCGATACAGCTGTTTAAAAACAAAACCAGGCTTATGACCTCACCCCCACCGCCCCAGAGAATCACATGCAGAGATCCGGGGTGGGCCTGGGCATCCATGTTTTTCTTTTTTTTTTTTTCTTTTTTTTTGGGGGGTAGGGCAGGGCCCCACTCTGTCACCTAGGCTGGAGTGCAGTGGCACAATCTCGGCTCACTGCAGCCTCGACCTCCCAGACTCAAGTGATCCTCCTGCCTCAGTGCCCACAAGTAGCTGGGATTATAGGCACGTGCCACCACACTGGGCTAATCTGTTTGTATTTTGGGTAGAGCCAGCTTTTGCCATGTTGCCAGGCTGGTCTCAAACCCCTGAACTCAAGTGATCTACCCGCCTCAGCCCCCCAAAGCGCTGGGATCACAGGTGTGAGCTACCACATCCAGCCTGCATCCATGCTTTTAAAGGTGACCCTGGCCACCTGGCAAGTTTGGGAACGTCTCGAGGTATCCTGACCTCCAGATGGCTCTAAACCCCCCAGATTCTCCAGGCCTAGGTTCTTAGGATGATGGGGCTGGGGGAAAGGGCCCCAGCCCAGCCTGAGCAGCTGGTGGGAGTGGGCTCTGTTTGGAGGCTGGTGGTAGCATGGACGCAGACAGACCCCTGAGAGCAGGGCTGACACAGCCTGAGGGACTATGAACCTGGCAGGAAGACTGGGCGCACGGGTAGCATGGATGCAGACAGGACCCTGAGAACAGGGCTGAACATAGCTGGAGGGACCGTGAGCCTGGCAGGAAGACTGGGCACACAGGGACAAACCTTCATCCAGGGCTCTGCTTCCGGAGCTGCTGTCTGACTGCCAGGCTCCCTCTGGAGTGGGGTCTGGGTCTCTGGTCCCAGCATCTTCAGGTTCATTACTCTTGTCTCCTGGCTCTGGGCTGGCTAACTGTGGGGTTGGGAGCTGGGAGTCCTCTGACCTGCAGTGGTGGGAGAGACACGGGCATTGAGGAGGAGAGTACAGGACTCTTCATTCCCCACTGTACATGGGCAAGCTGTCTATGAACAGCCATTGTCACCCTGGCAGAGTCAGCTTCCCACAGTCCAGGAGGAAGTGCTAGATACTGGGATTCCCAGCATCCCTTGCAGCTAGGGCACATGCATGGAACCCAGTTTTAGCCAATGGGACTCAAGGCAAAATCTTCTGGAACAGATTTTCATCCTTATAAAAAAAAACTCTACGAAAGGAAATGCCCCTTCCTTCCTGCCTTTAGACATTGTCATACGAGAATGTGATGTTTGGAGCTGCAGCAGCTGTCTTGTGACATGAAAAAATGTCTGAGAGAATTACTGAGTTGTTGAACAAAAGCCCTAATGTCTTTTAGCTGTTGACTTCACCAGCCCTAGGGCCACCCATCTCTGGACTTCTTGTTATAGGGGAATTAAAAAATTTTTTTTCATTGTTTCAGCTACTTTTTTTTCTTTCTTTCTTTTTTTTTTTTTTTTTAAGAGATAGGGTCTCTCTGTCACCCAGGCTGGAGTGCTGTGGCATGATCTTGGCTCACTGCAGCCTAGACCTCCCAGGCTCAAGTGATCCTCCCACCTCAGCCCCACAATTAGCTGGGACTACAGGTATGCACCACCAC